CGGAGCGGGCGCCGTCGGCGGCACTCACCTTGGCCGGGTCGTAGTAGTGCAGGAAGGCCGGCTCCTTCCGCAGCACGAAGCGGCGCACCTTCCAGTTCTTCCTCTTGTGCCCCTGGGAAGAGCGCGTCGAGGCTCACGGCGGCCCCTGCACCCCGCGCCGCCCCACCGCCGGCTGCTCCGCCCACGCCGAAGGAAGGAGTGCGGGGCGCACCCACGCAGGCGCGGGCCCGCGAAGCCGGGCCAGCTTTCCTCTCACTATCCTGCTGGCCCGTGTGTAGGGCACGATGTTACGCCCCTTGCGTGCAGCTGGCACCCAGTCCTAACACACACCCCAACTCCCCTTTCATCGCTTTTCTCCCCGCTCCATCTCGCCACCCCTTCCCATGAGAAACACCTCCCTACCTCCTAGCATCTTATTTATAATGTAGGTTTCTCATATAAGAGAAACCATGTGCTATTTAAAAGCTTGTGTCTGGTTTATTTCACTTAACATTATGGTCTCAAGGTGCATCTATTTTCCTACGAATGACACAAGTTTTCTTTATGGCAACGAGAGTTTTCTTAAGGGTCAACTTAGTTCAAAAACAAAGAGCTGCGTGTCTATCTGTGCAATTTCCATGTGTGCACATATGCAGGAAACCACTATCGCATCCTGCATCAGAAAAAGAAAAGATTGCTCGATGTGGCAGTGTAAGCCTGTAATCCCAGCACTCAGGAGGCTGAGGCAGGAGGATCACCTTGAGTCCAAGGCCAGCCTGAGCTACATAGTGAGTTCAAAGGCAGCCTAGACTGCATAGTGAGATCCTGTCTCAAAAAAAAAAAAAAAAAAAAAAAAAGATTGGCAGGCATGGTGGCGCCTGTAATCCCAGCACTGGGAAGGTGAGGCAGGAGGAGTGCTGTGAGTTCAAGACCACCCTGAAGTAACTTATCTCAAACCAAAAAGAACAAAGAGAAAGAAATGATCAATTACAGCATATAAAATAATCTAGCTGTGTATGACATTAATCTCTGAGAGACAAAGAGAGACTTTCTTTGGCCTGGCACACTAGATCACAAACCAGACTCAGCACCCTCAGAGTCTCTCTCCTGCCCCCTGCATGCTCCTCCAGAGACTTCATGACCCCCGCACTCAGGACTCCTGCCAGAAGCCGGGTGTGGTGGTGCACACCCGTAACCCCAGAGCTCTGGGAGACCGAGGCAGGAGGATTCTAAGTTTGAACACAGCCTGGGCAACTCCGCAACGTAGTGAGACTCCGTCTCAAAACATAAAATTAAAAAAGGGCGGGGTGGCTCAGTGCGAAGGCTCTAGGTTCAATCCTTAATAGCACCACCACCACCAAAAAAAAAAAGGAATCCACTCAGCAGACAGAAAAACACACAACTACTACTCAAGAGGCGGCAGGTGCCGATGTGCAAAAACAGCAATTATGTGGTCGCTGCTTTTGAACGCCGGCAGTCGCCCGGGCTCTCAGCACTCCCCGCCCCGCAGCGCTGCCCACCTGCTTGCACAGATAGCCCTGCTTCACCACCGCGCCGCTCAGCTCCAGGGAGCTCAGGCTCGGCTCCTCCGTGGGCGCCGCCTTCCTCCTGTAGCTCTCAGCCTGCGGAAGGGGCGAGCACTCGCTACGGGAGGCCCAGCCGGGCCGCCGGGGCCACGGCGCGGGCCACTCCGTGCGCGCAAGCCCCGCGTCCCCCGGGGCGAAGCCGTCCCCCGACCCGGGGCTCCCCCGCGGCTGCGCAGCCCCGCACCCCCTCTGCCGCAGAGCGGCTCCCTCTCTTACGAAGGTGTACAGGGCCGTGTTGTCGTCCAGGAAGTGCTCGGCCAGGTCCCCGGAGCGCGCGGCGCCCGTGCTGCGGGCCCCCACGGGCCTGAGGAAGTTCTCCTCCAGCAGCATGGAGCCCAGCGTCACCGCCTCCAGGCGGTTGGCGGCGAAGGCGCTGGAGATGAGCCAGTCCACCAGCGAGGAGCCTGCGGGGGGCAAGCGCAGCACGTCGGCCTCGGCGCGGGCCCGCTAGGGTGCCGGGTCACAACCTCAGCGCCGCCACCTCCCGGCGGCCACGCCCACGGGTGGCCACGCCCACGGGTGGCCACGCCCACGGGTGGCCA